TAAATACGCTCACTTGATTCCGAGTTTTGGAGCACATATTGCCTACGACATTTGGGAGGGAAAGGTAATACTTATTAATATTAATAAATTTTGTTTATAATATTTACACTTGATTGTGGTATACTTATATATGAATATATCTTTAACAGGGTCGACATATGGTTAAATTACGGTCGCACGCGAAGTGTACTTGGCCGGGCCCCGACGACGATGATTGTGTCTCACTACTGGAGAGTACGGGCTTGTATCACTTGCGTGATTGTTCGCTGCCTCAGCACAATAACCCACTAATAGAGGCTTTTATTGAGAGGTGGCAGCCAGACACCAACAGTTTTCACATGCCATTCGGTGAGATAACAATTACCCTCCACGACGTGCATTTCATCATGGGTTTGCGAGTTAGTGAAATTCGCCCTAACGTTTGGATGGATAAGGCCGACGCGATCCAGCTTGGTGCGAGAGCTTTCGGGGTCGACCCCGCACTTATGGAGCAGTGGTGGTATGGTGGCGGACCCCAGTTAGATGATTTGGAGGTGAAGTATGGCGACAATTCTACATTTGTTTCCGCGTATCGGGTACGAGCATATATTGCATACTTGCTCGGAAAGTTGTTGTTCGTGGATAAGAGTGGATCGAAGGTCATAACAGATTTTTTCCCACTGTTAGAGGAAATCAATCTGATTCGCGAGTATTCTTGGGTTCAGCTACATTGGCCTATCTGTACCGACAGTTGGGCATGGCTACGCGAGCTGAGGCGGCGCAGATTGCTGGATGTCTGACACTATTAGAGGTATTATTATTATTATTATTATTATTATTATTATTATTATTATTATTATTATTATTATTATTATTATTATTATTATTATTATTATTATTATTATTATTATTATTATTATTATTATTATTATTATTATTATTATTATTATTATTACATAATATAATAATAATAATAATAATAATAACATACTAATATTTATTATAACATCATAACATAATAATAATAACATACAATGTCAATAGTAATACATTCATTCCAATAAAAAAACAAAACTAAATCAAACACTATTTAGAATATCCCATATTTCACGTCGACTCCGCAACGCCTCTGGTAGATATGCAACACTATTATTGCTATATCTCGCCCACTGTCTATCAAACGGAGGAAGCGGACAATTGTCATTCATCTTCACATACACCAACAATCTCCAACAAAGGCAATTTGTACTGATTGGTTTTGTAAGTACTGTCAAGTAGTATAACGTACGGAAACTTACTTAACAATTCGACAGATTGAGGGTGAGCCCACATCAAATCAATAACTGCATGTGTTGTTTCATCAGTACGGAACCACTTGTAATAGTTATGCTCCTCAAGCAACCCAATCAAATGTTGCATCACTGTACGGTCACCCCTAGATAGTCTTTTCAATTTCGCCTTCTCATTGTATATTTGTTTCGAATAAGCATCGAGATCCAAACCATTTTGTCTCAAGTTAGCCAAAATCTTCTTGGGCGGCACATGACTTTGTGACAGATCACTAATGATCTTCGCCTCCTCCTGAGACAATGCACTCATCCCATGCCCGGATTTGTATATCGGAACATGATTATGCTTCCCGTATACTACTATGACCTCCCATCTATCATCCCATCGTAGCTCTCCGACAATTTGAAAACCACAGTTTATTTTTTTGCTACCGGTCCTTCTCGGGCGCGCGTCTGGGTTAGTTGATGGACATTCTCGTTTCTCCCCGTATAAGTCACAAGTCAGAAAAATCTTTTTTTAGGACAGCTTCTTTTTACTATTTTCACAAAAAGACCTCTTGCAATGAACCTCACCCAAACCACTACCTCATCCTTCGAGTCAAACAACTTAGTAGTGGTAAAATAATCGGTATGATCAACTTCAATTGTAGACGTATCGTCCTGAAAAAAACGTAAAAAAATTGATTTAAAAAAAAAAAAAGGGTTTAAAAGCCAAAAGCCCAACTCGGGCGTCCAACGGTGCAGTGCACGCCCATGTTGGGCGTGCAGTTGGCGTACAAACGCCCATAATGGGCGCGCAAGAGCCAACTGCACGCCCAACATGGGCGTGCACGGCACCGTCGGGCGCCCGAGATGGGCTTTTAAACGTTTACCCCATTTTTTTCGATCGAAAAGACGGAATTTTTACCTCGCTGTGTCCGCTATCCAGATCTTCATCCGATGAACTCATTTATGTTCGTATATCACACCAATAAGAATGATTTGTGATGAAATCGTCTTGAGAGCGATTTTTTTTTAGAGAGAAAGAGAGAGAGAGTCTTTGAACGGTAAATAACAATTTTCAAACAGTAAAAAGCAAATCCCTATTTCAATCATAATAAAACCAACAATTCATTCCTGCCATAAATTGCTAATTGGGCGGGTCGGGTCGGGTCGGGTCAACTTTGAAAACCTCCCGCCTCCATAGAATTCCCCATGAAACCCCACAAAATTCTCTCTCCGTACAAATTCAGCCGCCGTTATTTCCCCCCAATTCAAGTCGACCACCGCCGTTTCTCTTCCACCACCGCCCGCCCGCCGCCTCCTCCTCCTCCTCCACCACCGCGCATCTCAGTTTCCCCCGAAACACTTGTATCCACAGTCGAATCTTCTAATTGGCATTTAATCAAACACCTCTCGCCCAACTTCACCCCCGCCCTCATCTCTTCCACACTCCTCCATCTCCGCCGCTCGCCTCTCCTTGCTCTCAGTTTCATCGAAAACATCGATCGCAGCTCCCTCACCACCGAATGCTACTGCCTCGCCGTTGCTATTGCCGCCCTTTTACCGTCCCCTAGACATGCCCTGAAGCTCTTGAAAGTACTGATCAGGTCACGCCCCCTCCACGCATCAAGATATTTTTCACGGTTTTGGTCAGTGCGAGAGAGAGGTTGTGCGTATCGAGCTCGATTGTGTTCGATTTGCTGGTAAGGTCTTATTGCGAGTTGAAAATGGAAATGAGGTTACCGTGTGTTTTCGCTTGGATGAAAAGGATGGGTATTTTGCCGAAGATCGATACGTTTAATTGTATGTTAAGTACGTTTGTTAGGTTAAATAAGATGGATAAGGCGTGGTGTCTGTACGGCGAGATGTGGAAGTGAGGGATCAGTTCAAACATATTCACTTTAAATACGACAATTAATCTGTTAATTAAGGAAGGGAAGTTGAAGAAGGCTGAGGAAGTTGTTCGATGCATCGAGTCGTTAGGGTATAATACTAATGTAGGTGACATACAATACGATAATTCATGGGTATTGCATGAGGCGGGATTTCGAAGGAGCTAATCGGGTTATCGAGACGATGATTTCAAAATATATCGAGCCAGACGCCTATACTTTTGGTTCTTTAATCAACTGTATGTGCAAGGATGGGAAGATCGAGGAGGCATCTGAACTTTTCAAGAAAATGGAGGAAAGTGGATTAGTTCCGACAGCTGTTGTATATAATAATATGATTGATGGATTCTGTAGTAAAGGGGAGTTGGAAAAGGTGTTTAGTTATATAGATCAAATGGAAAGACGAGGAATACTGCCGAATGTTTCGACGTATAACATGTTGATCCACATGCTGTTGTTGAAAGGGATGATAATCGAGGCTGATGGTATGATAACACAGATGGTAGCGAATGAGGTTTTTCCTGATGTAATTACGTATAATACACTAATCAATGGATATTTCAGGGCTGGTATGGTAAAGAAAGCTTTTGGGTTTTATAATGAAATGTTAAGTAAAGGGATTGAGCCTACTCAGTCGACTTATACGTCGGTTATCCATGTTTTGGCTTCTATGAAAAAGATGAAAGTAGTAGATAAAATACTCGGGAATTTGCTAGCGGAAGGTATAAAACCGGATCTTATTACGTTCAATGCATTATTCGATGGCTATTGTGCAAACGGACAAATCGAGAGCGCTCTTTCACTTTTAAAGGAGATGGAAAGATTGAAGGTCGACCCAAACGAAGCGACTTACAGCGCTGTGATAAAGGGTTGTTGCGAGGCGGGTAAGGTTGAAGAAGCTCACCGACTTCTTCACGCGATGAATGGAAGGGGAATTAAACCTGGACTTGTCAGTTACAACACTCTTATACAAGGCACGTGCAAACTCGAAGGAGGATATTACGCTGAGAGACTCCTTAAAGAAATGGTTATTAATGGCATTTCGCCCAATGACAGTACTTATATCTCTTTGATGAAAGGACTTGCAAGTAATGGCGAAGAGAAGGTTTCGGACGAAATAAATTGATAAGCGTATATGGTGTTGGAAAAAGACGAAACGAAAATCCAGCTGAGGTTTTTTCGACATGGATTGCTAAATTGAGGAGTTCACATGGCTTAGAGACCGTATTTTCAACTCCTTGCTCCAGCGGGTTTAACTAGCGAGAAGATTTCTCCAGAATGTTCATCGGAAAACGGTTAGTAAAAGTGCATTTATGTAATTTTGTTCATTGGTTGTCAATAATTCAAGATTCAGTACTTTTGCCCTTGGTAATATCAGATTATTTCTGTGCTGGTGGTGCTCAGAGATATATATTAAGTACTGTTCAATATTAACATACTTCTTATTAGTAATATTTAAATCTTTTTTTCAGGTTACGAATTTCCAATCTTAGTGGTACTCGCACTGTGGATTGTGTGCTCGTACGGCACCATTTGGAGAAGGTAATATTCCTGGGAATCTTACAACTTTGCTGCCAGTAAATGTTTAAAAAATCTTTTCGTCGATTTTCTCGAGTTAGTGGAGCTATCTTATTTTCCTGAATCAAATGATTTGGAGTCGACACCCGGCCACTATATGCCTGCAGATATCCATACGTGATATACTCTAATTCCTTTTCTTTAATCTTTTCCGTACAATCTTTTAGCCTAACCTATTGGTAGTGTTCGACAAAAACGATCCAGTATCCAATCAGCTCTGCCCATATATCTCTCTTTTCCTACATTAATTTGGTGGCCTATTGTCATATCTGTTTCTTTTTCCTTTCAACTTTTCTTCTTTCTACTTCATTTCGTGCACTATCGCATCCAAAATGAATTGAATCTGATTCATGATGGATTCTGACTCAGTGACTCTGTATGTGGTGTATGTGCCTCTTTGTTTTAAGTAGGAGACATTTCCTTTTCCGATTATTTTCTTTAAATAGTAGGCAAATGCATGCTTTTCTTGTGTGCGCGTGTGTGTTTTAAGTGGAAACACATGCACCATGCACCAACAAAACTGATAAGATATCAACTAATTTTTTATATCCTTTTTCGTCATGTTCGAGTGTATAAGTTTCCAATAGAATGCAACGAAAACTATCATTGCCCCATATATTAAAAAATAAATAATACAGAAACTCCAATGGGAACTTTTGTAGGGCATCTAGTCCCTGGCTTGGCTCTTGTCTTCCTTGGCCTATGGCATACAATCAACACAATTCGGTCCTACTTCCTTAAAGGATCGAACAAGTTTGTCCTAAAATTTTGGTACCCGTTGAAGACTCCTTTTTGTATACTAGCAAACCTCGATCTCATACTCGTCTTGTCGTTTTCACTATTCGCAATCTTGATCCAAATATTCGACATCCAAAACCTCCGGTTCTCATTCAAGCTAGACAGTATCGAGCACGCCACCATATTCCTACAGCTACTTATATTCTCGAGTTTCTCTCTCTTCACCGAGTTGACTCGTTTGACCGAAAGCATGTCATGTGTCTCGGGAATCCTGGCCGCCTCGGTTTTCGGGCAGGAGCTTTTCTTGCTCCATTACCACTCAACCGACCACGTAGGTCTAGAGGGGCACTACCATTGGCTAATGCAGCTCATAGTTTGTGTTTCTTTTCTTGCAGCTTTATACGCAGCCGCTTCTCCGACAAGCTTTCCTCCGGCTTTAATCCTCTCTCTATCGGTGGTTTTTCAAGGATGCTGGTTTATAAACATGGGGTTTGTTCTGTGGGTTCCCGATTTTGCCCCTCGAGGATGCGATTCACTGCGTGGAGAAGCAGTTGTGTGTGGGACCCACGAGGCGGATGTGAGGGCAAGGGCATTGGCTAACTTGCAGTTTTGTTGGATATTCTCTTCGATTTTGATCTTTGTGGCTTCTATGTGTATAGCTTTTGGCAGGCAGTGTACATCGAGGAGGGAGTCGATCGAGTACGAGCAGCTGTCAAGTCCTGGCCCACGCGACCCTCTTTCAACCGTTGGATTCAAACAAATCCAACTGTAAGTTTGCGATTCTCTTCTTTAAACGTCCTTCTGCTTTCAGAATTTTGCTTATCTCTACAGAAATAACAGTCCATTTTTGTGGACATACTATTTCATATAACTCATTGCCCAGTAAATTAATGGCTCATCCTACTATAGTATGGCATTATACATCTTGCTACAATTGCTTTTTAAAATTGCATAGTGGAATACACGTTGGCAGTTTTAATGGGTAATAATCCAATATTGTACATAATATATATTATATTATATTAATAATATAGATACCATATGCATAATTTTATAATATTTTATAATAATATAGATATCCACATGTTAATAAATGCTCAAGGAGATGACTTTTGACACGAACATCACTAAATAAAGTTTTTTGTTTAAAAAAAAAAAATTAAGAAAAAGAAAATCCTAATGTACTTCCCATTAATTATGATGAAGGTCTTGTAGGGTGAAATGAAGGGCTCTTCCACTTTCATGAATCTATTCGATTTTGGGAAACGGCAATCGAATGTTAAGAAGAAAAACTAACTATATAGATAGTTTGCAGATGAGATTCTCGACTTACATATATCGACCTGCGAATTGGTAATAATATTAGATTCTCATTTATCTTTCTATGGAGGCTGCATATGCATCTTTTCATGGATATCCCTCACAACTTCACGCAGTTCTGGAAATATCGATATCAAAACAAGTTCCACTATTCCGTACACAAGTTGCTTCAAGCAAATCGTAGACTGCATAAAAGAAAAATAATCAAAGAAAAAACACGTCTCAGTAATATATATATATATATATATATATATATATATATATATATATATATATATATATATATATATATATATATATATATATATTGTATGTATGGATGGGTTCTTGGTTATTTTTGAAATGCTTTTTTTTTTGCAATATTCAAAGAACTGACTCGTTAGTGGAGGGGAAGGGGGAGTTGTTTTACCTGAAGGAAATAGTATATATCTCTAGCACAACGTCTGTATTGCTTATGCCCGATCATGCTGACCAAAGCAGTTGGAGCACCATCTGCCAACGAGTTGTGTCAATATGCATGTTTGCTTGCTTGCTTGTTTGCGTGCGTGTGTGTGTGTGTGTGTGTGTGTGTGTGTGTGTGTGTGTGTGTGTGTGTGTGTTGTAAAGCAATTTATAAAAACCAGTACAAATAACGTTATGCAAGAACCAGTTAGAAAGAAGTAGTTACCAAAGATTAGTTTTTTAATATCACTAGCTCTGCGAGCAGCTTCGAGCTGTTGCTCAAATGATTCTGGTTGAGTGACCGTTTTCCCAACTTGTTTCTCTTTATTTCCTGATCCCTGGTTAGCTTGACCGCCTCTTAGTTTGTTTTGAATGCGCAATGTCATAAAGAATGTTCCATCAGGCCATAGAATCTATTCAGAAAATTATCATCAATAAACTGCACGATAGCTTCTTCGAACAACTCAACATATAAAATAAGTCACAGAGAGAGAGAGAGAATATTTTTATCAGCTTCATTTACGCACAGTATCCCATGTTATATTTTGAAGCACGAAGCAAACCATAAGTCTTGGATCATAACTTACATCTTGGATCCATCGAATCCCTAGCGCGATAACATCCTCCCTACGGAGCCATTGAATTTGCCTTAAAAGCCAGTCGTCAATGGCATCCTCCATGAGTAATTGCAATATTTGCTTTGATATCCAAAAGACCTGCCTCCTACAACAAGCCAAAACTAAATTATGGTTTTTTTAAAGCTGAACTGTGACTTCTCCATATAAAAGTAGTTCAAATGATGGATCGAGAAAACATTCAAAAGTCAGTTACGAGGAAAAATATAAGTTAGAAGTTGGATATGCTGTTAAAGGCCAACGGCATAACCTTTCAACTCAGACTACATCTGAAACCCTAATTCATGTCATGCAAACATTTTATAAATTGAATATGTGGAGACAAACAAACGATAAAACAAAATAGCACCAGGGGGAAAAGACAGCATCACCTTAGCCAGCCTCTTCTTTTGAGCTGAAATACTTTATCAACTAAGTTCAGGACTGGAACACTTAGATTTGGTGGTGTCCACTGCAAGGGAAGTCGAACGTCAACTAAATCAAGCATAACCATACGCAAGCAGCAGTGACAGAAAATGCTCAATAGATTAAAGATATGGAATTAGGATGGATAAAATTCAAATATTAAAGATAAATGTTTTCGACAAATTTAAAATCTCCGGAAACAATATGAGATAAAGAAACGTGCACTTCTAAATGCACATTACCTCTGGCGGCACCCCTGTCGGATCCTCTTTCAGTTCATTGTCTGAAGGTGATTCATTCGCTTGTGTGGAATATTCTAGTTCATGTTGTCCATGGTTTACATCCTTATCACCTTCCTCGTTATCAGAGAAACTATCAAGAGAATCTAATGTACATTGCCTCATAACCAACTTATTCGTTTCATCAGAATTCCAGGACAAGTTTCTGCTTGTAACTGAAGAAGTCTGTTCATCAGAAGAAGACAGTGAGCCAACCATTATCCGCATTAGACCATCAGAAACCCCTTTGAACTGGCGCACAATATCATCGACAGCATCATCCACATTAACTGTTTTGGTCAATGGAGATTTCATAGTGATTATGAATAGTTGGTGGATATAATTCCAAACTCATTTGCCAAAAAGAATAAATCTACGACATAACAAGAAATAAGTTACGCTACATGCAAATGTAAGAGACTATACATTCCGTAAATATACTTCTGCATATGGTGTTTTTTGGGAAATTTAAATTTACAGCTGCAAAGGTTATGAATCATATTACGAAGCATCTAAATGAAAACAAAAATTTGAGAGTGTTTACGGTAATAAGAATCCCAAAAGAAAGTTAATTGGCACATGCATCTAAATGACAATATATACTGTTAACGTGAATGCGCCGCAACTAAATGAATGACAAGATATATTGGAACTTAAATCTAATGATATATAAGTCAAAACTTAACCACCTACTTATTCCTCAAACACTCAGACAATGCGCCACAACTATAATTTCAAAGACTCTGCAGAACAGGAAGTACAATGACAACGGAAAAGTATACAAGACGAATTTATTACAGTTGATACATTCTTCTTGAAAGTCTCTTACCAAGGGCCTTTGTTTATACTTTATATTATACAACTGAGATATATGATAACTACTATCCAAGAATGAAATATGTATACCTGCTAGAGTTGTCATCACAGAAGGCGATTTTCCAAACGAATAATTCTTCATAGATAGAAACGAAAAAATAATTAAATGAGGTACTGGTATTATTAAGAATTTAAAAAAAATGACAAATCCACACCTTAGACGAGGCGCTCAAAAAATCCCATACTTCATGTTGCTCAGCAACATTGGCAATTGCCAAAAGATCCTAATAAAGACAATCTTGTCAAAAAGGCTAAATAAGAAAATGTGTATGTATTATCATGGGGATCAGAGATAATCATACTTGAAGATACTTGTTAAGCTGGATACAACGTTGGTGAACAAAAGCATCCTCTGTACTTGAAGAGAATATCCTTTTTGGAGGCAAATGTAAGGTATAGTTAGGAATGTCCTTAAGATGCCTATGCAATCTCTCAAAATTCCTATATCTGTAGACAAAGTAGAACAAATGAAGAATCAACTGACCATTGCACAGGAGAATATGAATAAATCATGATCTAATCGAAAAAATTCTCATGTCAATGGAACAAGATTTGTCCTCATACTAATCTGTACTGAAAGTATATTAAGAGCATAGCATATATTTCGAACAAAGCAATATTCATTTTGTTCAAATATTCATCGAAAATCCACACCTTCTCTTGACTAACCAAGTGATGTTGTCAGCGTCAGTCACACAGATTGAGTAAACTGTAAAAGAATTTGAGCCAAGTTTCTCGAAGTATGCTCCAATAACCTGCAGATTCAAGTACCCATTACCCTATATAAGCTGAAGCATATAATATAATCAGACAACAGTAATCAAAGGTGGGTGAGGAATACCCATAGGCCATATACTTCGTCATTTTGACTATGGCCTCAGTTTATAGTATGTAGCTGATCTTGCAAATATTGGTAATTGTTTCAGCTAATGTTATAATGAGGTCAACTTTTACTATATGTTTCCCTTGGTAGATAGTAAATCAATTGTACATGCAAGATTGCAAGTTCTTTAAACTTGATGAAATAATGTAAGAGTAGAAAAAGAAGTGAAAACTATATATTTTGAATGAGGAAAGAATCCTGGCCAATGAAGCTACCTCATCTTGGACAAGAAAAGCATTTTGCATGTATAATAAAGCAGGGTTAAATCCATTCAGATTTAGCAAACCATAAAAAACGAATTTGAATGAGGTCTTACCCGACATCTCAACTTGGGGGCATGCAGAACATTGCTGTGTGGTACCATATTTGAACTGATCTTCATACTGTCTGCATTACCTTCGTTAACCTCTGCAGTGTAGGATTCAGTAATAGTGGATGGTGCAGTGTCTTTACTAGTAGACACGTGTTCCAGGTTCGACTGAACGTCTGAATCAATACTGCTGTTTGATCTCTTAAGACTATTTCCATTTTCATGGGAAACAACATTAGCAGCATCTTCCAGCTCATGAATAGCAGACCCTTCCTCTGAAAATGCATTCTTGCTAAGGTCTTGTGACCTGGTTAAGGCATCAGTACTAGGATCAGTAGATCGATTATCTTGTTGGATGCAAGGTTTTAGTTTCTTCGAAGCTTTATCTTCTATTCTAGGTGATGTCATGCTTGTGACTTCAGGGACTTGAAATTCTGAACTAGGCTTCTTTTGGAGTCTCTTTTTATAGTTTCTTCCTATAGTCCACATGTTCTCAAGGTTTTCAGGCATAAGAACTTCTGTTCTTCTTTGAGTTGCTGCATCAAACACTTTTGCCCATTCAGCGGGTCGTGAATGTATGGATTCATCTGTACAAGATAAGAGATTTACAGAGGCGCCCGGCTCTAGTTCCTTGTTATCATTCAATCGAGATAAAGATTCGTCAGCTCCTTGATTGTTGGTACCATGTTCTCCCGAAACTGTGTGATCACGGTTATGAACCTCCTCCACATTAGGTGATTGATCAGTGAAAACATCCTTGAACCACTCTTTATAGGCAAGGATTATATACTCAATCAACTGATTGATATAACTGTGAAAGAAACTAAAATAAGTTAGATTCCTGGTTGGCAATTGGATAAAGCAATAGCAATTAATTGGCTATTTAAGAAGATAGAAAAAGTGGGAAAAGATGCAAGCATGCCAAATGCGAAATCCCCATGCAGATATTGAACTCATACTAATATACAGCAACAGACCAACTAAACAAGCATAATAACATGAAATAAACGGGTCAATAAGATGAGCTCAACGAGAACATAAATCTGGTATATGGTTTTCGGAAGGTTGAAATTTTTTCAAACTTGTTATTGGATAATGGATTGTCAAAGCTAAATGTAGAATATTTGGAATAGAATGTGAAAAAAAAACAAGTACTAAGAAAAATGCGAATCAAAATTTAAACATCAAGTGGTGGAAGATTCTTTTTGGTAGTGTTCACATTACGAGTTGGAGATGGAAGTTCACTTGATATTCTCTCAAATGTAATCCTCAAATCAAGAGAAGAGTTAATAAGAGGAAATAGAATCTCACCTTGGGCTAGCAAAATCCATAAGAGGTTGCACTACCAAGCTAGTTAAGATCTCTCGAGCCATGCATCGAACTAAAGGGCATTGCCCTTCCCTTGGTTGTAACACAACAGCTAAAAGTCCACTCATGAGCTGCTGAATTACCTATCTTTAACAAGTATCATATGTCATGAAAATTAACCAAAACAAGGACGAAAAAATAGTCGGGGCAAAAAATATTAAAAAGCTTTCTGAATCAGAACTCTTATACACCTTGTACTCACACTCTGGAGATATCAAAGCAGGATGAAGCTCCTTAGAGGCCATGAGATGGTGTTTCAAACTTTCATCCCGTTCTTCAGAAGACAGTGTTCCCATAACATCCCTGCCAATAGCAGCCTGATTTCTTCTAAAGAGGTCAATATGATCTCCAATCAGGTCTACTATGTCCCTGGTTGAATGCAGACGAGTTTTAACCTTCCATATCAACTAGTTTGCCTCACTTTTTTCACATCTCCATTAATATAATTAAAAAAATAATATAAAGATAAAAAACAAGGAAATAATACCTTGTTAACAGGTCAACAAGATTTACTTCTTTGATTCTTCCAGATACTTCTCCAAGAGCATCCATGATTATATCATGTATAAGCTGTGGTGCCTCTTTATCAGGTGTAATATATGAATACCACAAATCTATGACAAAATCATGCAAAATTTTATTTGTGAAATCCTCAATAGCTGCTTCGACAACGGGGGAATCTATTTTTCTCTTCCATTCTTGTGTGGGAGGTTGGGCACAGATACGAGAATCATTCACAGATAGTTGCTTCTTCTCCAAGTGTGACAAGTAGGATACTCTTCTCGTATTTCGAATTTTCCATTGGAACTCCACCTCATTAAATAATATTCTTAGTCCACATACCAAGAGGACGGCTATTGGAATATTCATTAGCATTGATTTACTGGTATCTGCAATAAAAAAATTATAAATAAGAGTAATGATCGGAATTAAAATCAAGAACAGGCAGAAGAACGGTATACATGCTGTTGTAGACCACCGAAACGAAACAAAGAAAATATTCAGAATTTGGATGTTGAGTCTCCAGTGTAACTACACTTCAGTTAAAGCACATAATAAAAATTTGATAACAGCGTTTCTTTTTTATCAAACGAATTCAGCTATAATAAGCTCGAAGCACAAAAACATGTTTTGATCACTAGTTCAGCTACAATAAGCACAAAGTAGAAAAAAAATGAAAAAATGACAGACACATATGTATGGATACCATGTAAACCGAAAACTTTTCTAGTAAGACAGCTGCAGGGTTGATAGAATAATCATTGCATTTCCCATATATAATAATCTTTAAAATTGAAATCGGATATATACGCATATACATGAACCAGCAACTATCTCAGAAATACGCACACAAATCAAATGAACATCGCACCTAAAAATCAATAGTAAGTAATTTAAAAAAAAAATCATAAAATCCATGTTTTCCCCCTCAATTGAACACAAAAAATCACGATTGCGGCAAATTGAGCTGAACAAACATATTTTAAATAAAATGCTATAATATCCACAATCAAATAACTGGAAATGAATAATCCGATTCAGGATTTCATATTGAAGAAAACCTAGAAAAAAAAAAAAAACAAAGCAATGTTTACACTTACGTGTCAAGAAGTAAGTCACTGCGAATATACACAGAATCCACCACACCGTCCGAAGCTTAGCTTCCTCGATCAGATCTTGTATATCACCCATTACGTTCTTCATATTTTTCTTCAGATATGAATTTCTTTTCCTAATTACATCAGATCATTTCAATTAATTGGATCGTCACACCACGAAATTTAATTCCAACAATTAAAAAAAATGGAAAAGGAAAAAAAAAACACGTACCAAATCGGCGCGCTTCAGAGGAAACTCGAACGTAGAAATGGAGACGATTTTCCGAATGAAAAATGTCGAATCGGTAGCCGATTTTCCGATCGTCTCTTCGCTGGAATTTGCTGCTTCCTTTAATTTTCCTTTGTTCTTCAGGTTTTGTAACCTTAGTAGTGAGTACGATTGTACGAAGAATAACTCCATTTTGGTGGTATTTGTGAGGTAGAGAGAGAAAAACACGGGGGGAAAGGAAGGCGCACCGGCGACCGTTACATTTGTTCGTACACGTTTGCAATCGGCAGCCATACTTGCTACAGTCACCACTCACTCGCCACTGTTGCCATACACATAATAATCGAGATGCTATATATATCGATATGTATGGATCGTGACTAACTACATTGCAATGGACGGATGAGATTAAAAATCAGGCAAATTTGTAATCAATTTGGTTTCATTTTATTTTGGAAAAATATATTTTAAAAGAAAATTTTGAAATAGAAAATATTTGAAACTCGTAAATTCTATTCAAATTATTTTTTAATTTGCGGCTTTTAGTTTTGGGTGCAAATTTAGATCGGATGACCTGTTTTAATAGGAAAATTGGATGCAATAGGAATAGTTTAAATAAAAATATAATTAAGATTCTAATAATTGGAAGAAAAAAAAAACCAGCATAATCCATAATCCCTCTTACCCTAATTATAATCAGCGTAATTTATTAAGAGATAAGACTAAAGAGTGTCACATGTCAAATAAATTAGTGGAATCCGATTTATATTAAATATCGGGTGATCCGCTCAGGATTTAATCACTTTACTTTTAGGGTGATCATTCAGACCGAATGGGCCTATAAAAGACAATAATCGGATTCCATTAACAAACTGACACGTGGACATATCTCAAATTTCTCTTAGCAATATTATATAACAAGTGGGTTTGCCCATTTAATACAAAACACAAAAACTAATAAAATATAAAACCTTTTTTCCAAAATCATTCAGCCAACAACAATTTAGGAAAAAAATATAATTGTTCAAATTAAAAAAAAATT